ACAACCCATACTAATGCATAGACCTTTCTACAACCCATACTAATGCATAGACCTTTCTACAACCCATACTAATGCATAGACCTTTCTACAACCCATACTAATGCATAGACCTTTCTACAACCCATACTAATGCATAGACCTTTCTACAACCCATACTAATGCATATACCTTTCTACAACCCATACTAATGCATAGACCTTTCTACAACCCATACTAATGCATAGACCTTTCTACAACCCATACTAATGCACAGACCTTTCTACAACCCATACTAATGCATAGACCTTTCTACAACCCATACTAATGCACAGACCTTTCTACAACCCATACTAATGCATAGACCTTTCTACAACCCATACTAATGCATAGACCTTTCTACAACCCATACTAATGCATAGACCTTTCTACAACCCATACTAATGCACAGACCTTTCTACAACCCATACTAATGCATAGACCTTTCTACAACCCATACTAATGCACAGACCTTTCTACTTAACAGTTTATTTTCCTCTTCTCTTTATTTTTTGTTTTGACTACCGGTAGACTATGGTAAAATGTGGAAATATTGATTAAACTTAATTATTTCATGTAAGTTGATTATTATAATTCTTTTTTTTTTCATTTTGTTTAGCATATAAAATAATGTTAGCAGGATGTATAATCTATTTAAAGACTTATCGCGGTACAACACTGTTAGCATTGTTCCAGGGTAAAGCCCATCTCTTTTTGTGGGGTACCACTAACCTCACCGTATAAGCTTACCAAGTAGGAAAAACCTCATCGGTAGCAGTGATTGATTTAAGCGAACATCGACCTACAGGCTACTTTGAAGTCAAGCTACGGGAAATGGGGTCAAAGAAAAGATGGGGCCATTCCATACTTAGGAGAAATTGGCGACTGTATATATATATATATAGCGACAACGTTTTGGTAGTTCACTACTCACCACAGCCCAGGGCTCCCACTCAATTTTATTTAAATTCCCAAGATTTGGTCAAAATATTTCCCAAGATCACGATAATATATAAGATTTTTTTTTAAAAGGGAAAATTATTATCTTGTGAATTTTTTTTTAAAAGTGAGTTTTTGTCCTGGATGCGGTAGTGAATTCCCAAGATCTTGGGAAATTTTCCAAGGTGTGGTAGCCGTGCCATAGCCCCATTACGAAGAACACTGGAGGCTAGAGAGCGGGTGAAGACTTTGGAAGGTATTTAGACCTACCTTATGCCAGTTTTGCCATAGAAGCAACATATAGAGGTAAGTGTATGTAAGGTGTGTGAATAAGGAAGCTTTAGGGTAGTTCGTGTGATTGCTAGTTACGTTAGGTAGACGATAGTAGTTTAGAAGACTACGGTAAGTATCTAGTTGGGGCTTAAGGATAGACCACATAGTGTAGGTGATTTATTCATACATTTCAGGAATAGTCGCCCTTTATTGTCCTCGACACAAGAGGACAAATCATCACAAGCACTTGGCAGTGAGACAGAATGTGCATAGATCCGTACAGAGCAACGACGAGACGCTAGACCAAAGACAGTCACACAAGACTCCTCTATTAGAGTCCGTAGCGTTGAGGGAGTCATAAGTTAAATTGCCTGTTTTGTTCAGTCGTAGTCTGCAGAAGTGCTTTGAATGATTATAGTTAAAGGACAACCATCAATAACTGTCATTGTGTATCTTTTAATATAAATAACAATTACATATCATCATATATTGTGGTGTAGGCGGTGTATATTTCGCGTCATTTATATAATACATTTTAGATAATAAATTAGCCTTAGTTATTTTTAGTTAAACCGAAGACTTATTTTGTTTATTTCATTCTATGTAAAGACATTGTGTGCTCCTATTACTACAGATTTCATTCTATGTAAAGACATTATGTGCTCCTATTACTACAGATTTCGTTCTATGTAAAGACATTATGTGCTCCTATTACTACAGATTTCATTCTATGTAAAGACATTATGTGCTCCTATTACTACATATTTCGTTCTATGTAAAGACATTATGTGCTCCTATTACTACAGATTTCGTTCTATGTAAAGACATTATGTTCCTATTACTACAGATTTCATTCTATATAATATAAAGACATTGTGTGCTCCTATTACTACAGATTTCATTCTATATAAAGAGATTGTGCTCCTATTGCTGATTATTTAATTCTATATAAAGACATTGTGTGCTCCCATTACTACAGATATCACTCTATATAAAGACTGTGTGCTCCTATTGCTGATTATTTAATCTATGTAAAAACATTGTGTGCTCCTATTACTACAGATTTCATTCTATATAAAGATTGTGTGCTCCTATTACTACAGATTTCATTCTATATAAAGACATTGTGTGCTCCCATTACTACAGATTTCACTCTATATAAAGACTGTGTGCTCCTATTACTACAGATTTCATTCTATGTAACAAAGACAATCATCTCACACCCATTCACAGACAACACCTATTTCAATGTATTTAACACCAAGTCCATTCCAAATCGTTTTCACTTTATTTACACATCCTTAAAACTCACGTGCTTGCCCTCAATATATCTAGTACTCAAAAGAAGACAGCCTCCTGCTCCACACAACTAGACCATCATAGTACAATAAAACATCTTTACAATACGGAGAGGTAAGGGAGCTGGAATACAGACAACATGGGCTCACCCAGCAGTGCCAGGGGGAGGCCGACAGAGTCTCTATGTCATTCCAGCCACCTGACACTGACAGCACTGGACAAATCCAAGGAACACAGACAACATGGGCTCATCCAGCCGTGCCGGGGGAGGAGGCCGGCAGTGCCTCTATGTCATTCCAGCCACCTGACCCTTACAGCACTGGACAAATCCAAGGAACACAGACAACAGTGGCCCACCCAGCCGTGCGGGGGGGGGGGGGGGGGGGGGGGGGGGGCCGGCAGAGTCTCCATGTCATGCCAGCCATCTGACACTGACAGCACTGGACAAATCAAAGGAACAGAAACAACAATATTCAAACAATCAAGGGCTTGAATAATACTTGATATATGTACACAAAATACATCATTTATCTCACTTACTTTATCATTTCAGAAGGGGAAAATAGTAAGCAATCAGGAACAGAGATGATTTGGGTTTTTTAAAACATAAAAAGTATAAATAATTAAATAAACCAGCATTGGCAAGTATAGGAAACAAAATGTTACAATTTGATAAAAATTCGAGGTATGGCTTTATTAAGTTGCAATTTTTGTTGATTTAAAAAAAAAAAAATATCTCAAGAGTCCAAAACAATGCCATATTGATATGCCACCCCTCGAATACCTTTAGTTGTCATTGCGTGTTTTGCTACAATGCTTCAAACTTGGCTACTACTCTTGTTGATCATTCAATGGTTGGCCAACATTTCAAAATAATTGATAGTAGGGTAATAGACTTTAGATAGCCAAGATACATTTTTAAATTAAACAGCAAATACTGTAAAATAATTTAAGAGTCTTACAGAAAAAAAAAAAACAGTTCTTAACAGATTTTTTTTGAAACTAAGTTTACTTAATTTTATAAAGAGAAAGAGTTATTTGACAGAAGGAACCTGTTATATTTATATTTAGTATGGAGGGTAAAAGATGGGGGGGGGGGGG